CATAAAGTATGAGGTAGTTGTTCCCTGTCTTCATCAACAGATTCTTGTTCTTATGAAGTAGAAGTGAGAATCACTCCCACCCATCACTTACAGGAGAGTGTGGGGATCCATTCAGCAACATTCAGCTCCTCTGGGCTATTTTGGACCCAAGGAAGGCCCCTTTTCCAATAGCAAGTGACACATGAATTGACCTTCCCATAACTTCATGTTCAGAAAATTTAGCTCCTATGCCCAAAACAGTCTGGTGGACACACTGTGGTGAGAGGCCTCCAAACTGAATGAATTTGAGGGTAAAAACAGCTTTATAGATTTTTTCAAGAGTGGGCAATAGAAGAACGATGCCCAACCATGCTACATAAAAACAAGAAGCTATAGACAAATAACAGGGGGAAACCACCTTGTGATATTTCTTCCATTGTAAAAAGTGCTGTTAGGTGGTCTAGTTTTAATCTATTATGGGCTTGGTCAGACAACCTGCCTTATCAGGTTTGGCCTCACTATCATTTCCTATTCAATCATTGAATTTCATTTCTTAAACAAATAAAATACAACAGGAGACACAAATCATTAGCAAATAGCCTTCCATAACAGAGAAGACTGTAACTGTATCTGAAGGCTATCACTCTTCATGACCGCATCTCTTTCTACGAACCAGAATGGGCATTAATATCAACCAGGGAGGCTATCCTCTCAGTGCCACCTCCGTCTCAAGTGCAGTTGGTGGGGTAGAGAGAGAGAGCCTTCTCAGTGGTGCCCCCCACCCCCCCGGTCTCTGCAATGCCCATCAGACTAGCCCCCACTCTTCAAGCCTTCTGTATACAATTAAAGACATGTTTTTTCCAACAAACCTTCAACCATATTTAGATTCCATTAATAAATATAGTGAGGACCCACAGATTTCACCAAGTACTTTACCTAGCTGAGATTTATTATTGTTGTTTTATACCTGCAGCTATTGCTGTATTTTACTGATTTTAACAAGGGGGGTTTGCGAARTGWGATATTTATGTTGGCTATTATTATTTTATGCTATTGTTTTTGCAATTTTGGTATTTTATGTGTTTGGACCTTTGAGTGCTTTGTGAGCTGCCCTGAGTCCCTCTGGGAGATGATGGCAGGGTATTAATAAAGTTTGTTTGTTTGTTTGTTTATTTCTAAGCTTAAAACATGTCAAGGAGAATTATTATTATTATTATTATTATTATTATTATTATTATTATTTTACTGACACAAAAACAGTATGTCACAGCAAATGAGAGATATATGCTGGATTTTGTATCACAAATTACATGTTGGACACTTCCCAAGTGTCTAGAACTGTGTGATGTATTTTCAAATGATGCGTGCAGATCCAAATAAGGTGGCCTTTTGCAGTTGACAGATAACAATTTTGTCAATGTTTATTGTTTTCAAATGCTGGCTGAGATCTTTTGGCATGGCACCCAGTGTGCAGATTATAATTATTATTAATAATAATGTTTATACCTTGCTTTTTCTCTTTACAAGGAGCCAAACAGCATTCTTTCTGTCATCGTAACAACTATGCTGGATCAGATCAAACATTCTTCTAGTCCGGCATTCTGTTTCCACAATGGATGACCAGATCCCAACAGGAAGGTAATGAGCAAGGTGTGAATGCACTTGCACCTCTCCAACAATTGGTATTGAAAGGCAGCACAATGTTGTTTCATTCTTGTGCTGGGGTAGAGTTATGAGCCTGTATCCAGCAGAGCCTTTCTTACAATCACAGTTGGCTGAAATGATGCTGCCTGACTTTTTCTGCATCAGCTCAGCCTTTCCATGAGTGTCTGCATTCCCCACTGTAGTTTTCCTAGAATGAGACAATGGCTGCTTTATGCTGTGGAACTGCTCTCCTGTCTACATGCTCACTGACGTCAGAAAAGCTCCCTTGGCAATGAAATCTCTGTCTTTGGGATTCAAATGAAAACAACCCTAATGAAATGCTACCAGAGATGAGAAGCCACAGAAACCAACACACGTCCTTTGGCCAACTGTGTCATATGTAAACATAATCTGAACAATAAAAAACAGTAAGAGATTTTAAAGACAAAAGAGGAATGTCATATAACATTTCCTCTCTTTCTGTAGGTTCTGTATAAATATTTACTATCACTAGATTAATTTATAATAAACATCAAGTGAAGCTGGACTACAAGTCCCTTTACACTCCCTGAATGAGAATAGTGGGAACTGTAGTGTAGCGTATGTAGAAAGTGCCACAGCATTTGGCTTGTTAAAGACTGACTCCCTGGAGTCTTGTAACTAACCCTAACCCTTGACTGAGCAGGTAAATATAGGGACAATAATGGCATCTAGATTGATTGTGGCATCTGGTTCCCATGTTTCCATTTTTCTTTGTAGTTGTTTTGGTTGGTAAATCACTTTATAGATTATAGGGGTGGGCCTATCAGTTGGCTATAGCGGGTTTCTTGAGAATACTGTGCCCTCAATAGGATCCCATTTCATTCTCTGTATGTTTGGAGTTAGAACAAGACAACACAAGAAGAACCTTAATGAAGAAAACCAAAGGCCTCTCTGTTCTCTGCAGTATCCAGCCACAGGCATGTAGGAATCACACAAGAAGTTCATGAGACATGAATCCTTCTCTCACACTTTTATCTCACATTTCCAGCAAATAGTATTTACTGATATACTCCCTCTGAATATGGAGACTATATACCAGGGCTTGTCAACCTGATATAGTAACACCTAGATGGGATTGTCTAATTTCTTCCTTTTTAAAATGATGTAAACCTATGGTCTTCAGCAAACATCTGTTATGACAACAAGTTACAAGTATTAAATCTACACTTTGTCACTACTTTCTTATCCTCCTTTAATCTCTTCTTGATGAGTGTCACTGGGGATTTAAAATGGTTTGCCATCTGAAAAAGCCACTTCCGTTCCCCGAGATCTTAAATCCTTTACTTTTATTTAGGCACCATGAGATGCAGAGCCAACCTTAAGAAATGGGGCCACAAAGTGGAGTCCATGACATGCAAGTGTGGAGAAGAGCAAACCACAGACCACCTAATACAGTGCAGTCTGAATCCTGCCAGAGGCACTCACTCCAAGTGGCCAGCTGCTGGTCAAAGGACTGTGTTTATAAAATACATTACAACTGTACTATACTGTACAAAATACATTACAACTTAGTTCGCTTCTGATATGATAAATAAAAATATTGGTGTTGCAAATGATCACGTACAATTCTTCCTATAGTTGTTTCACTGTCTACCTGGGGGAACTTTTGATAATTTCCCAACAAACTAGATTTCTCTCAACAGTTTAAAAACACTTCAGAGAAGCAAAAAGTGACCTTTGAAAGATTCACCCATCATTAGCCTTTATTTGTAAACACCCACAGATTTTTGTTCTTTGAAAGATGAAGGCAGCACAGAAATGTCAGCAGAATAAACAGTGTCAAAGATTTGTGTACAAAGAATGGAGCTAATGTTAACAGAGAAAATTAGTATTGCCTAAATCCCAAACCAGTGCATAAGCACAAGAAAAAGAAATGGGTCAGCAGCTGGAGCTCCCCTTGATTTCTTTATTCTAACAGATTTGGCAAAAAGGCAGATAGCTGCCTGGATTTCAAGTGGATGTTTGTATCGTCAGCAGTAGGAATTGAGGCAGGAAAAATTGAAAGAATGGCTATAGACTGCCTGCACTACAAATATCTTCCTTTTTTGAGATTAAAAGCATCTTATCAAAATATGTAATAGTGATATAATTATGGGCACAGTTGGAAACACCTGTTTCTGGACTACAACCCCCAGAATTCCTCATATTGCCTAGTTAATGACCATGCTAACTGGGGCTTTAGGAAGTTCTAACCCAATTTTTACAAAGATCTGGTCATTGCATTACTCAGAAATAAGCTTTGCTCTGATTGCAATGAGTCTTGAGATTAAATACCACATTTAATTGCGTAATAGTTGCAGTCTCCCCCCCCCCACTTTTTTTTAAAGGGGTGTGTGTGGCTTTTGCACAGCCCACCCATTGCACCACCTTGGATCTCATTAGAATCAAATTCACATCAAAATAGGTTTTCAGGGCAAGCCACAATATACATGACTATTTTTCTGGATATGTTTTGTCATGCTAATGCATTGAATTATTTTTATAGTGGCTATTTTTTTTATCATGTCAGAAGCAAATTGAGAATATATTGCAAGTTGCTACTTGTGTGAGAGAATTGGCTGTCTGCAAGGACATTGCTCAGGGGACACTCGGATGTGTTACCATGCTGTGGGAGGTTTCTACTCATGTCCCTGCATGAGAAGCTGGGGCTGACAGATGGGAGCTCACCCCATCTTGTGGATTCGAACCACCAACCTTCAAGTCTTCAGGTCAGCAATTCAGCCAGCACAAGGGTTTAACCCACTGCATCACTGCAGCTCCATAGATGTAAATACATCTATACATAGATGTAGGTTTTTCTATTACATCTGTATCAAGTTCATCACATTAATTCAGTTAATTGTCACATGTCTTCTTTTAAGTGTATATATTGTAGCTCAGTTTAATCATAATGTTGTGTCACTGCTTCCACCACACAGAAAACTGCATAAATGCCATAAGCAGTGACCTGCCCAACTCTTGACTCGCCAGCCTGAACAGAGCACTATGGGCTTGATAAACCTTTGTTACTTGATGCCTGTATCCACAAAGCAAAAAGGGTGTAAGTGTGAATGGTGTGTGAGTGAGAGTCAGGGTGTATTAAGTAAAAGAGCATGTTTGCGAGCAATGGAAAGACTGAAATGTGTGGTTCAGGAGTAGTGCAATCAGATATACAGATCACTTTTATAAACATCCTGCTGCCTCTTAAGACTTGCCAGAACTCGCCCTTCCTAAATTCAGTGGCAATATGAAAAATGTCCTAGATACTGAAGGTCAAAATAGTGAGGATAGCAAACCAGCTTGACTTTTAAACAAAAACGTTGTGTACAAAAGGGTAATTAGAACTGGAAACTTACTGATTTGCTGACTGTATATGAACTCCACAGTGGCATCAGGATATTTTGACTGTAGCCATTCACATATTGATTCTGGTGAAGTAGGCAATAAGTGCTCTCCTTCTGGAGAACACGAGGTCTACCATAAGGCAAATTATAAGATTCGGATTCTGTTTCTAGAATACAAGTAAAAACATAATTATTATAATTTACATTCATATGATCCTGTTGGGAGAGAAGCAGTCATGGAATAATAGATTTCCCCCTTTTTAAAAAATGAAACATACATACTTATTCAGGATTTTTGCTTTTTATCTATGCCTTGAAAGAGCAGGACACAATCTTATACTGTGATGACTAAACAAGTCTACCTAATAAACCTGAGGTTTAATATTTTTTCTTGTCAAGCTCAACCCAAATCTGCTTATGATTCAAAATTTAGAGCCAAACTATGCATCATTTAAAAGGATTATTCCCAGTCTTTTCATTTCCTGTACTCACTTGCTTGATTGTCGAGGTTTAGTCTTTGATTCACTGCTTCTACATTTATTATCTACAAATAAACAAATAGAAATACATGGGAATACYGCTCATAGCAAGGAACTGGAAAAAAGAAATAAATATACAAATAGAGGAGTGGTACAAGGAAGCATGGAAACTGGCAATAAATGATAAGCTGACATGTATATTAAAAGTTAAAAAAGGTATATGGAAACAAAGCGATTTTGATGATGTATGGGGAAAATTTGTTGTAAATAGTTTAAAAAATAAAGAAGGAAAGTTACCRTCACAAGAAAAATTGAGATTTTGGACAGATGATATGTAAAAGTTGTGGCTTGAGATGTGGGGAGGGGAGCACAGTGGTGGGAAAAAAGAAAAAAAATGCTCAAGCAGAATAATAAGATTATATGTTAAAGAGTGTGTTGAATAATATGTAACTGCTATAAACAAATGTATAACAAATGTAATAACTATGATAAAACAATAAAAATATWTTTTTAAAAGAAATACATGAGAATGGTCAGGCACAAATAGTTCAAATGGAAATAAATTGGAATTTTTTTTTCATGTCAGGAGCGACTTGCCCAGGACGTTGCCCAGGACATGCCCGGATGTTCTGATGTTTTACCATCCTTGTGGGAGGCTTCTCTCATGGTCCCACCTGGGGAGCTGGAACTGACAAAGGGAGAGAGCTCATCCGCACTCTCCCCGGATTTAAACCTCCGATCTGTTGGTCTTCAGTCCTGCCGGCATAGGGGTTTAATCCATTGTGCCACCGGGGGCTCCTTAATAAATTGGATTTTTTAAAAAGAAAAATCTGAAGCTGCTGGACTTACGGAATTGCAACTGCATCCTAAGGTTTGGGAAGGTACAGAGGAGCTAAAGGGGCATGAAGATGGAGGTGAAACTTCCCCTTCATGCGATGGACTATAGAAAGGAACCTTCAGAAGATGATTCAGGCTTCCGTGTGTTCCATTGTTTGGGGCTGGTTTAATTTTAAGCAAATCTGTGAAGGAAAGAAAATCAGTTAAAGGCTAAACTAGAAGCATATATCAGGCCAGGTTATGCCATGTCATGCATTATATCAGGCTTTCAAAAGCTGGTTGACATGGGCTTTCAATAACAACAAGAAGACATTTTATTTCTTACCTAATTGCACATTTTAATTATGATTATAATGTTTTAGGGTTTGTATATAGTATTTTATATGTTTTATAGGCTGGTGACTGGCGTGGATTATAGAGATCATACGACCCCTCTCCTGAAGCAGCTTTACTGGTTGCCCCTTTGCTTCCAGGCCCAAGTGCAGGTCATCACCTACAAAGCTCTGCACGGCTCAGGTCCTGCATATTTACACAACCACCCCACCCCCCGCCTTATGAACCTGTTCGGACCTTACTATAAGCTTGGACCTTACTATAAGCTCCCGCCTCCATCGTAAGGGAGATTGCCCCCCCCCCAACTCTGGCACACCCTCCTCAGGGAGATTAGATAAGCATCCACCCTTATGACATTTAGGAGGGAGTTGAAAACATGGCAATTTAACAGGCTTTTGATTAGTAAATCGCTGTGATATGGATATACCTTGATTAGGATAGCAGGCCCCCTTTCGCTCATAGGAATGATTGTGTTTTTAATTTAATGTTTTAAAATTTTATTGTGAATTTTATTTGCTTGTTGTGTTGTATCTTGTAGTTTTATATTGGTCAGATGTGTTATTAATTGTTTATTCCACTCTATGTATTTTATTGTATTGTATCTTATTGTATTATTTATGTTGTGAGCTGTCCCGAGTCCCTTTGGGAGATGGGACAGGATATAAATAAAGGGTTTTTAAAAATTATTATTATTCTTTTTATACATGGTTTAATGGTTTCATAAATAACTGTTTATGTATACTTTTATTGAAGTTTTGTTATACTTTTTAATCTTAATAGTTGTTAAATACATTGTAAGCTGCTTTGAGTCTTGTTGCTGGAAGAATTTTCCACTGAAGAAATATAATTTCTCAGTCTTATTTTTTGCTAGAAAACAATACATGGATCCTTTATATCAAAGATGGACAATAGTAGGGAGTATAGGTATCTTCTAAACATATACCACTTGCATGAACTGCTGTGGACCTGCAGTAGACTTCACTGGACATTTGGGGCTGAAATTCAGATGTGTAAAGCACCCAGGAATTATTGGAATTTAACAACTGGCTTCTGTCTCTTGGGTTTCACTCATCTGACTGATTTGAGGAATTTGAGATTTGGTGGGGGAATTACAAGTAAACCAGATACTGCAATGGGAATACACTGTTGGGGGTTGGGGAGGTTATACAAATTTAGGGAAATCTAAGGGATTTGAGGAGGCTGGGGGAATATGAGTAGCACTTTCAGCATCTCTGCTTTATAATAATAGAATAGATCAGTGTTTCTCAAACTGTGTCCTCCAGATGCTTTGGACTTCAGCTCCCACAATTACTAACAGATGGCAAGCCAGCTGGGATTACCGGGGGCCCTTCCACACAGTCATATAATCCAGAATATCAAGGCAGAAAATCCCACACATGCTTTGAACTGTGTTATCTGAGTCCATACTGCCATATAGTCCAGTTCAAAGCAGATAATACTGTATGCAATTTTATTCAGTTGTGTGGAAGGAGCCTGGGAGCTGAAGTCCAAAACATCTGGAGGAGCAGAGCTTGAGAAACATTGGAATAGATTATCAAACAGTGCAAAATAGACAGGTTCTTCTTTGTACTCACCACACATTAAATTGTAAACCTCAATATTTTCAAAAGGCTGCACTTCAGTTTCTTCTTTAAATCCTGGCCCATGGGCCACAAAGACAGCCTACAGAGTCATCATAAAATAGTTTCAGGAGGATTGCCATTGTTTTTAAACAAAGTCAGCTGGAAGAAATCTTAACTCAAGCCATGTATAGGAAGTATATATTGATTGTTACATATTTGAGTCAGTGGATTTGTTATGGGGGGGGGGGTCATAATTTATAAAAGCTCAGTTTAGATTTTTCTGGATGTGTAAATGATATCAGATCAACATTCAGTTCATTATTCTGCTCCAAAGGAAGCCAGAACACATTCCACAATTCTACATGTAGTCATCATGCATTGACAAAAATAATACTGCAAACCAATAAAGTTATGCCATCACTGTACATGAGATGCTGAGGCTAGCTTTTTTTGGCAAGAGCTTCAGAGGGGAATATTGGGAATCATCTAGTAGAACTGACGAAATACTGAGGTGGGTGGCTTCTCCAGGTCCAGGGTTCACATGTTCCCTGCTAGACCTGGGAGGTTCGTGGATCAATCCACACATCCCCACTGTTCAAAGAAATCTTTAAAAGGCCCCTTAAACCTTTTAGGAACTGCTAAGGGGATCAATTCTGCTCAGTTTTGATCAAATTTAGACCCTATTTTTTTTCTAAAGTGGAAGGATTTTCTGGTTTGAAAAATGCTCCCCTGGGCCAAAATGAGCAAGGAGGGGCAAACCTAGTGTAGATAAATGTTTTATCAAGGAAATACCATATATCTCAATTGCAGTTACATCATAATGCACAGATAGGAAACATTTAGATGTTATTGGACTACAGCTCCCAGCATTTGTCACAACTGAGTATGCTTGCTAAGTCTGTTGGAACATTCAGTCCAACAACATTTGCAAGACTATATGATTTTCACCTAGGCTTGGAAGAAACCGAATCTAGATAGCTGTTCAAAGCCCTGAAACACATAGAAGGGAGATGCACTCAGTCTATCATCCATCCATCCAGGGCTGAATCACCCATTAAGCACATGCTTAAGGCATCAAGGGAAGGAGCACCACAGAATTTTCCATTGACAATTTACCATGGACCATATGGTGCAACTGAACCAGGTCTCACAAAAGGGGGCTCTCATAATAAAATAATTTGCAATTGGAAAAAGTAGAAGAAAACTTTTCAAATACAAATACTGTGGAAGTTTACAAAAATAAACATTTTCCATCTAAGTGTAAATTATTTTTCATTTTGAAAAATAGCAGTTTTATTGTACAGTTTATTGGTGTTCATATTAGATATATGTGGAACACCAAAATCTTTTAAGCGTTTATGTTTTCAAAAGGTCTTTATCCACCCTCTCTATCTATTTATCTTCAAATGTCATTCTAGAGCTTCTCACTTACCTCCATACTTTTGAATTCATTGTCATAGCCATGGTTTCCACCATCACAAAATGTATATTTTTTAGACCTATAAAAAAAACCCCTACATTAGTGAATTTATAAATAATTCTCAATAAGAGATGTTAATTTCTCAAAATTAGGGAAGAATAAAAAGAGGGACTACTTTTGCAATCAGTGTTTAGCTCTTCAGGCAGTGGGTTGTTGTGAGTTTTCTGGGCTGTATGGCCATGTTCCGGAAGCATTCTCTCCTGATGTTTTACCCACATCTATGGCAGGCATCCTCAGAGGCTTTCACCATAGGATGCCTGCCATAGATGTGGGTAAAACATCAGGAGAGAATCCTTCTGGAACATGGCCATACAGCCCAGAAAACTCACAGCACCCAGTGATTCCAGCCATGAAAGCCTTCGACAACACATCTTCTGGCAGTTTTTGTAATTGTTTCAAAATAATAATTTCACTCTGGCTGAATGAACTTCCATCTCCATTATTTCATCAGCACATACTTAAAGAATGGGGAACATACAGCCCTCTGGATTTAGTCAAACTGCTGCTCCACCATCTTTTAGCATTGGCCGTGGGACCTCTACTCCATCAGCATAAGAAGAAGCAGAAGATGTGCACTTCTGACACAGGCAAATCTTAATATAGCAACTATAATATTAACTTCCTGCCAATAGACCCCGAAGTGGAAATCCTGCTGACCCCCCAAGTTTTGTTGAACTGCAGCTCTCAATATTATACAGTATTGGTTATGCTGGCAGAGACTTGTGGGAGTTGAAGTTCAATAGCATCTGCATGATTCTCATCTCTAACAAAATGCATTCTCCTTCTCAATACAAACATATACTGAGAACCACAAGTATGAGCTAAACCTCTATCCCACACTGCTGCTAACCTCTACCATTAAATAATGTGAACTGGGCTCTTCAGGAAGCTGATACACCCTCCAACATTTCACTGATAAAAGCTGTGAAACTTGTGTCCAAGCAGGATCAGAGTGTGGACAAGATGAAAATTCATTAATGAGGGAAGAACACACAGCGAGGAGAGGCTGCCATCTTTTGCTTTTTGCCTGAATCTAATGAGAGGAACAAGGCTCCCTCCCCTTCTTCTTCCCATCCCCTGGCTGAGTTAACTGTGCATGAGAACCTTTTTCTTCTTGGGATTTATTTTGCAGCAACTGAAGATAACTGAAGACAAATGGGGAATGTGAAAGGAAGAGACAGAAATGGGCATTTAGAAGCATTTTTTTAAGTGTGACAACAGAGGATTTATTAAGACTATCACAGCCAAATTAGGACAATCAAAAGGCACGAGGTTAGGTGTGCCATGCAGAGATTGCCTTTTGGTCTTTGTTTTTATTATTATTCTATCTTAATTTCCAGATAAAGGAATGAATACGATTTCCCATCACATGTGGAAAAATAGCCTACATGGCTATGACTCCTCTTCATCTTGAGCTGAGGATTTCTTGTTTTGCTTTATGCAGTGAAAGTCTTTCATTAGTCCTGTCCCTGGAGCTAATCTGGAGAAAGGGGATGGGGGAGAGAGAAGGAGGAGGAGAAGGAGAAGGAGAAGAGGAGGAAGAAGAAAAGGAAGTATATTTGTACAATATTGTATGTTAACCATCAGTCCTGATTGATTAATTTCACTGTTTAGAAGAAGGGCAGACTTCGTCCAGAAAGACTTGCTTCATGCCATATTTATTTTACACTCTTTATCTGTCTATTCTTTATCGCCTTTTAAAAATATTTAACTTAGAACATTATTGGTTTTAAATAGCAAAGTACTATGGCAATTATTATTTTGTGACTGTCATTTGTATGATTTTAATTTTATTGTTGACTTGTAAAGTGCCTTGGAAATTGTAGAACTGAAATATGGGGTTATTTAAACAAGTACAGAAAGAATGGCGGCTTTAAACATAAGCATCATCCTCTTTCAGGATATTAGAAAGCATGTCAGGATACTGCCATTTAGAGTTAGCGCTTTATCTCATTAGAAGTGAAGACAACTAAACAGGTTGTCATTCTTTGGACATATTATAAGATGGTATTACTCACTACAAAGACCATTGTTTGCAATGAACAGCAGTGGGGGAAAAATGCATTACAGGCAAATTAGTTCAATCAAAGATTTTGCAAGATTTTAGTGGGGCAGTTCATGACCAGGGTTCTTGCAGGTCTCTTATTCATAGGGTTGCAATAAGTTGAAGTTGGTTGGATAACAACAGTAACACAACTTGTGAACAAGTAAGGTTTATCCACCAGAGTGATGGCAGCATTTTCTGCATTGTGAAATATGTACAAAAGTTTCACATTTTTTGTACTCTGTCCACTAATTGTATTTATTGTATTTTAACTGTATTTTGAGCCTAACACACAGTATTGTTTAATTGGTTGTTTTTTTTCTATTTGCTTTGTTTTAACTTGATCAAAGTCTGTGGCTGTTAGCCATATTGAGTCCTCTTGGGGAATAAGGTAGGGTACAACTAAAGTCAATAATAATAATAATAATAATAATAATAATAATAATAATAATAATAATAATAGAGATATGTGATAATTTTTCATCTCTATCATGGAGAAGCACTTGGAGCCATAAAATCAACTAAGGTACTCAGGCCCATGCTATTCACTCTGTTAAGAAATACCACCGGAAGAATGGTATAATTTCCAGAAAAACGATCAGTACATAAAGCATAAAATTGCTCTAGGTGTTCTTGGACCATGTTCAACAAACATGTCTTAGATTACAGGAAGAGTTCATTTACATGTTTTAAAATTAATAGCTTTTCCAACTAGTCTTTTTAATGCCTTGCCTTAGAGCGACATTTCCTGCTATTTTGACTAATAATGACTGCTTTTGCCTGGAAATTTTTGCTTACTCACTCCTGCAATATTTGGAACACAGAGATGAAATGGGGATGCCTGCCAAGTTAAGAAAGTTAGTTAGGGAAAATATTTAATATTTGTGCAACTATATTGGAAACCAAACAGTGCTCCTGCGTTGTGGAATTTCTTACGAAGAGAGGCGAGGCTGAGGTCCTTTCACCAACAGGTCAAGACCTTTTCATTTGGACAGGTGTTTGGCAGTTTCGCTGATCTGCTATAAAGGAAGCTTTCCAGTTGTATGGGTGCAGAGTAGGTTTCCCCCTTCACTGATGTTTTTAAATCACTTCCACAATTGTATTATATTATATTAATAAAATGCCTTATGTTTTTAACTATGCTTGCTTCACTTGGTGCCTGAACTTATTAGCCAGAAAGGTATGATAGAGATCTAATAAATAAAAATAATAAACAAATGAATAATAATATTTGGCCAACTCTAGAAAAATTAAAATGTTGAACTATGGCTCTCAGGTTCCTCCAGCTAACATATTTAGCATCTCAGCTTTATAGACAAGTTAAAGAACCATAGCCAAAAAAGAAAAAAAAATCAAATTCTAGATCAAATGCAAGTAACTTTCAGACACAATGATACAGGCTCCCCAGGAAATCTTGGAAGGTTGTACTCCCTGTCTGACAACCCCACAAAAAATAAAAAATCCCCCCACTGCCCTCTAGGTGGTGTGGAAGGCATCCTTGTCATATGTTGGGCCATTTACAAAGAAGAATTGTGTGTTTAAATGTCTTTATGTCAAAAGAAAAAGTAATGTTCTTCCCTACGTGTTAGTATCCACTGACATATTTCTCTTCCAGTAGGAGTAAAGATGCTTTTTTTTCTCTTTAGCATTTGTTGACTTTGAAAGAGAAATACTTGGGTTTATTCTTTTGGAACAATCTTTAAGTATCCTGCTTCTAGGACTTAAAATAATTTGTACAGTATTTACAAATTTGATGTTTAGGCCACCTGTAGATGCTTATGGTGACTTTTAAATATTTAAATAAATAAATAAATGGATGTTGTCATTCTCCTCCATACTCCTAATTTTTTTTCCCTTAACTACTAAACCCTCTCCCACCACCACGTCACGGCTACATTGTGAAGAAGCATTTGTAGTAACCAGTGGTGTCATTCCGATAGTCTACACTGGTTCATTTGAATGAAGGTTTGTTGAATCACTTGTTGTGGAGACAGAAAACAAAATGTTTCATTGAGCTTCCCTCTCCAACTAGGACATACTTGATCCAGAAACCTTCTCTGGCAAAAGCAGTAGTAGTAGAAAACCACAACTTTGCCCAGCCAGCCCTACAGTGGTGATATGTTAGGAAAGATCAAGGAAGAAAAGAAAAGCAGCCCTTATCAGGGAAGGAAAGTCTGGAAGAAGAGAGGCAAAGAGTAGAGGAAGAGAAATTGTCATCTGGAAAGAATCTGGTCCTGATCCCCATTTACCTCTATTGCAGGCAAATGCACACACTTCTTCAATGATACATCATGCAACCATTGAAAAATCAGGGTTCACATGCACACATTTTGGCAAGAAAAAATATTAATTATTCTGAATGAGGGTACTAGGGTGCTGTGGCTAAATTAGGGCTTACAAAGTGGGACTATTCCAGATCCTAAGAGTTCAGGGATAAAACCTGAAACCTACAGATGACCCATGGGAAATTACAGAAGGCAGGCCTTTATCGTGTCATTAAAATTATTGTTAAGCATCAAATGCAAAGATACAGAATGGGGGACGCCTGGCTCGAGAGCAGTACGTGTGAAAAATATCTTGGAGTCCTTGTGGGCAACAAGTTAAACATGAGCCAACAATGTGATGTGGCGGCAAAAAAGCCAATGGGATTTTGGCCTGCATCAATAGGAGCATACTGTCTAGATCTAGGGAAGTAATGCTACCCCTCTATTCTGCTTTGGTTAGACCACACCTGGAATATTGTGTCCAATTCTGGGCACCACAATTCAAGAGAGATATTGACAAGCTGGAATGTGTCCAGAGGAGGGCGACTAAAATGATCAAAGGTCTAGAGAACAAGCCCTATGAAGAGCGGCTTAAGGAGCTGGGCATGTTTAGCCTGAAGAAGAGAAGGATGAGAGGAGATATGATAGCCATGTATAAATATGTGAGAGGAAGCCACAGGGAGGAGGGAGCAAGCTTGTTTTCTGCTTCCTGGAGACTAGGACGCGGAACAATGGCTTCAAACTAGAAAAGGAGATTCCACCTGCGCATTAGGAAGAACTTCCTAACTGTGAGAGCTGTTCAGCAGTGAGACTCTCTGCCCTTGCGTGTGGTGGAGGCTCCTTCTTTTGGAAGCTTTTAAAAGAGGCTGGATGGCCATCTGTCAGGGGTGATTTGAATGCAATATTCCTGCTTCTTGGCAGGGGGTTGGACTGGATGGCCCATGAGGTCTCTTCCAACTCTTTGATTCTATGATTCTATGCCTCTGCGCAGAATACATCAGTCAAATAAAAAAGTCAAATCTGACAAATGGCAAAAATATATATCTTGTACAAAAAAATGATGCTTTTGTCCTATTCTGTCTTATCCAGACATTCCTTCCCCCCACCCTGAAAACTGGAGAAGGCTTACATTTGAGACTCAAGACCAAGCTCTGAGATTTTGCAATCCTATGTGATCTAAGGGGAAAGTTCACCTGGGTTCACATTTAAATTATACCGAATCTGGCTTTCAACCGAAGTTATAGAATAATAGTCAACTCTACTTCCATGCAAAGCAATATGCACATCTGTCTGTTTGGAGTGAGAAGAAAAGATGACATATAAATGAGTCCACTCATTTTTGGGAATCATTACACACTTCTTGGATGCAACTTCCAGAAGTTTCTGCCAACACAACAGTTGGGAACTGCAACCCAACATCTAGATTGCCTCATATTTCTAATCCCTGCTCAAGAACTACAAGCAGCAGCATAGTAAGAAAAATGAAGGCAAAAGGAGTATGTAAAAAACCTTTAGATGCTAAAACCTTATTATTTTAAATGGCTGGCTGCATTAAAAAAAACCATCAACTGAAGCAAAAAAAAAGAGAGAAAATCAAGATAAAAAATAGCATGACCCACTCAGCTATTGGATTTTGCTTCAGTAAAGTTGTACATCAAATATTTGGGTTGTGACCCAGAATTCTGTGTGTTCACATGTATCCACAAAATTCCTTGTCCTTTAATTTCTTTTAAGTATCTTTTTGTATGTAGGTCACATATTGTTCAATGGATTTTAAAATGGTAACCTGCTTCGAATGCATACTCCTCATGCGTTTCACTTCATGGATGTGTAATGATCCCAACTTTGAAGTAAAAAAGGAACTATGTTGTAACACCTGCACATTGGTGCCTTTGTGAAGATGTGGTGCCTCTTGATTTGGGCATTTATAGACTGTCTCATTAAAAAAAGATAAAACATTTTTTAAAAAATAAGAGAAAAGATGGCATCACCCAGAGACCTCTAAGAGAACCTTATACAAGTAAGCCACTGAATGACATTTGATAGCTCCCAAATCAACAGGGCAATGAATCTGCTCTGTGGTTTAGATCAAACCTTCTGAAACTATTTAGGGGATAGAGCTGAACTTCTTGGATTGATACTTTAAAATTCAGAGTAAAATCCAGAGCTTAGGGATATTCCCCTGCTCCCATTTTAATGTAAAATATTAAATATGAATATTAAGCTTCCTAGAGCATTGGCACTAGAGTAGGTTATAGAGTGAAATTAATAAATGTATGCATATACTATTGTCCCTAAATTGTAACCCCCAAATCTGAGCAATCACATCCCAACTATACTGTAAAACCAACCTTGGCTGCATGTCCACCTATTAATCCCATAACTCATACATTAACCTATAAATGTCATACCTCACAGCCAACCATTGCCGATCCACCATAAGATGAACTTTGTCAATACGGATGTTGTTGACATAATGTAATCGCTTTGGTAAGTCTCGAGTCAAGTAGGCTTTGAAGTGCTGATCTGGTTTTCGGCACTGAAAATAGTAAAGTGCATATGTGAGATCTGCAGAATGGAAGACTGCATACATTTATCAAAATGTAAACAGTAGACAATCTTTAGGAAGATTTCTAACGATAAGTTCTTTCATATACCCTTTTCATTTCATATTCAGCATGTTTATTTATACAAACTGGATCTCTCTAATTTTAATCTATATGGCAACAAGAATGATTGACAACTGGAACATAGAGGGAGGAAATGTGGAGGCCGTGACAGACTTTGTATTTCTAGGTGCAAAGATTACTGCAGATGCAGACTGTGGCCAGGAAATCAGAAGACGCTTACTTCTTGGGAGGAGAGCAATGTCCAATCTCGATAAAATAGTAAAGAGTAGAGACATCACACTGGCAACAAAGATCCGCATAGTCAAAGCCATGGTATTCCCTGTATGGATGTGAGAGCTGGACCTTAGGGAAGGCTGAGCGAAGGAAGAGAGATGCTTTTGAACTGTGGTGTTGGAGGAAAGTGCTGAGAGTGCCTTGGACTGCGAGAAGATCCAACCAGTCCATCCTCCAGGAAATAAAGCCCGACTGCTCACTGGAGGGAAAGATACTAGAGACAAAGTTGAAGTACTTTGGACACATCATGAGGAGACAGGAAAGCCTAGAGAAGACAATTATGCTGGGGAAAGTGGAAGGCAAAAGGAAGAGGGGCCGACCAAGGGCAAGATGGATGGATGGCATCCTTGAAGTGACTGGACTGACCTTGAAGGAGCTGGGGGTGGTGACGGCCGACAGGGAGCTCTGGGGTGGGCTGGTCCATGAGGTCACGAAGAGTCGGAGACGACTGAACGAATGAACAACAACATATATAATTGTAGCTTAGGTCTTTCTGTCTAAAACTGGAAGTTCAAGAAAGCATTATCTACTTGAAATAAAATCCAGAGGCATGGGTCTTTCGTGTATAATAGACAGCAACCATTTCCTTAACCTTGAGAGCATGGTGCTAGAATCTTCAAACACTTGGACATTAAAAGGTATAATCTAGGTATTTGCACATGTTATACGAGTAGTACATACCATATCTACCAGAGAAATGACAGACTTTAGGAGCAATAACTCAGAAATAAAATGCTTGCTGCTAAGGGGAAGAGATGTTTAAAAAGCTTACTCACTGTAAGGTTTTTAACAATTCCTTCTGAATCAACTGTTTGGAAGAAAATAAAAATAGGTTATACTCAAGATAACATCACCAGGCACATATTTTAGGTATGTATATATACGTATAATAGAACTCTATCAATTCCAGGTGCACTCCATCAGGTCTATGATATTCAACGTCTTTTGCAGACTCCTCTATTTAAAGAGAAATTGAAGTAATAATAATATTATAATAACTTTCATTTTTATCCCACCACCACCTCCCAAATGGACTTGGGGGCAGCTTACAAAACAGCACACATGAGTGCAATAACACATAAAATACAAATCAAATATATCAACATTAATAACAACAATATTTAAACATAAAACACCTACAAAAGAAAACCCCAATTCAATTTAAATAAGATATTTAAATATTTAAAGTAATGATGATGGCATATTAATGTACTTATGTTATTTTTTTAAAAAAAATCATTTAATAAAATAAACTGCAGAGACTCAGTCTGGATCCAGATTGTAGTCCAGAGAAATAGAGGTTATTAGGGTGCTCTTAGCAGCAGAGGAAGTGGAAAACTCAAAAACCATTTTTTGTTTCCAATTTTATTTCTGTCTCACAGCTAATTGTAACTTTGAAGGATAAGGGAAGAGTGATTTGGATTCAATAAGCAATGCTGAAGTAAAATATTATCTCTCTGTACCATGGGCTTCATCTAAAGTCTCTTGTTGTGCTTCTGACAAGAAAAATTCACATATTTCTGACATCACATCTAATTTGGTTCTTACTGGGCTTATGTTCAACATGAATGGTAAAATACCATACCATATGGGTTGGATCCAGGCCCTGCCCTCCATCAATGACAGAGTTCCGCTGATGAAAAATGTATTAGCCTGGTTAAGGAGGATCTTCCCTCTCCCTACATTATACCTCACAATGCTAAACCATTGAGCTGCTGAGCTTGCTAACTAGAAGGTTGTCAGTTCGAATCCACGAGAGGAAGTGAGCTCCCACTTTCAGCCCCAGCTCCTGCCAATCTAGCAGTTTGAAAACATGAAAATGTGAGTAAATCAATAGGTACCGTTTTGGCGGGAAGTTAAGAGGGCATCCCATGAACTCATGCTGGCTATGTGACCAGGACATGTCTATGGACAATGCAGGCTCCTTGGCTTGGAAATGGCGATGAGCACCTCCCCGAGAGCCAGAGTTGAGCATCTCCTCCAGAGCCAGAGACCAAAAGGGAAGCCTTTGCCTTGTCTGTGTATTTGTGTTTCATTGTGTGTTTCAAACACATTGAATGTTTGCCTGTGTCTGTATATATGCTGGAATCTGCCCTGAGCCCTCTTGGGGAGACAGGGCAGAATACAAATAAAGTGTTGTTGTTGTTACAACTCTATTGAGAGGAAGAGACATGGAATTTCTTTCCTGTCAGCATAGTTGTAGGGGTCAAAATTTGGATTCAGCCTGTATCACCCAGATTTATTTTATTTGTCGTGTCAGAGCAACCAGTCCATTGTATTACATTGTATCACCTAGATTATGAACAAGCAATCATATCTAAAAATTGATATGTCACTTGATTAATTAATATGAGTTTCCATTGTTCATGAAAAATCATATTGATTACGGGTTTCAATGAATTGCATCCAATGGACATAATTGTGTTTTCAGTTCCCATCTCCCATATCAGATATCTTAAGCTTCTCCAGACCTATAAAATTCTCTCCATCTCTAGGAATCCAAGAATCTATGATCTGGACTTACAGGTAAAGAAGTCTTTTGGAATATTTCTTGCTCGGATACGAGGTGCTGGCCCTTCATACATATAAAAATCAATTTTATCAAAATAATCTGTCATAAATTCCATCTGGTTGCAGAATGTCTTATCCATGCCTAAATAAAGGAGAAAGAATATTAAAACGAGTACATGTTTAATTTGTAAGATCAACAGCAAAGCATCCAAAATACAACATAATAAAATATTTATACCATGATCAGCCAGAACTATGAGGTTGACACAGTTGTGTAGGTTTCTCTGTTTTAGACCTTCCATTAACATTCCCAGGGTCCGGTCTGCCAACTGCAAGGCCTTAATGGTCTACACAAAAGAAGAAAATATACAATTCACAGTTTTATCTGACTGTGAGATAAACAACTTTCTGAAATGACAACAACTTCAATGGTTCTAATGGAAAATTCAGTGGACAGATCCCCCATAATCAATACCTAGTGCTCTAATTCTGAGCTCAAAGTGGTCAGTTCAGTTTACAAATTCTGCCATATTCATATTCCGGTAAAAGGATGAAAAGAAATTCATATAAAAGACAGGGCTTGTCTATTAAGGAAGGATAATTTTCATCGCCTACTTTTCATCCCATAACACTGCTCAGATTGTACAACTGCTCTTTCTAAATCATAGCTATTGTTGATATTACTCTGTTGTAACTTTTAAGACTTGTAACCCAGAAGTTTTAAAGATCTTTACTCAAACGCAACCACAAGCTTTTTATGCCAGTATTTTACTGAAACCATTAAGCACTTGTACCTGAATATTTTAAGCCTGTTCAATAAATGTTCTTGTTATTTTTATCAACTTAAACCAGCCTCTGTGTGAATACCTTTGTGGTCAAAGCATTATTTAAGTCGGCTTTCAACAGCCTCTAAGGAACTTTAGTGGCACTGTGAGTGTTCATAGAACAAAGTCTCAACATAAACTCAGCCTGTTTATTATTAATATAGTGGCAGCGGAAACCTTTTGAATAATCATTTTAAGTCTCTCAGTTCCAGTGGTTCCCAGTTCCTATCTTTTAAATATATAGTGGATCAGCAACCATACTCCCTCTATATTTTTGGTGAGCTAGTCTGTAGTAGTGGTGGTATCATCGTTATTGTTTGGTTGAGTAGCGTTGGGATTATTTTTCTAAATTTCCCCGTCTGATAAATCAATTTAAATTCTTACTACTACTCGTCTGCATCATTATACAGCACTTCTGGAATATTGCACTTTTTTTATCCCCTGAATTTCAGTATTCTATCTCTAGAGAAATTACAGTTGCTCCTCTTCCCTTGTACAAGACAACATAGCCAGCAAAGATTAATTCATCTTTACAATAAAATATGTAATACAATTATAACATCATGCAAATAAATAAGAAATAAGTAGAATTAAAAGAAAACAAAAAGCAAGACTTACTCCTCCACTAACTGGTCCATACGAGTGTCCAGCTTTGTCAGGTTCCTCAATATACAATGTATAGAAATCGGGCCTATGGTTCAAAGGGAAAGAGCATTGTGAGCAAATGAAAAGGGATCCCCACTAGCCATTCTGCAAAAAAGTGGCAATTAAGATATATTGTTTCCTCAAGAAGTGTAGCCACCAGCAGGAGAGCTGAGGATTCTTAGTGCAATTTTAACACAGGAGACCCTTTGCTTTTCAGAAAATCGGAAAATCCATGTCTGATGAATGTAATGGAATAAGTTTCTCCTTATCTTCTTGCATTTACTCTATATGACTTCAGAATCATTTAGAATTTAGAGAGGGTTAATGCATGAACTGTGATAAAAAGCATCTTGTAACCAACAGCATTTGAAAATTCGAGAAGTATTTCTAGACTACACCTCTCCCAAAATGGCTTCATCCAAGACACATACAATAGAGCTATTGTATTGAGAAAAGATTTTGGGGTAGATTAATAAATCATTTTTTTTCTATTCTGAGATAGATTACTTTGAGACGTATTAAGAACAAAACAGAATACGATGGAAAGCCGTTCATGTGTCCATCTGTTTTGTTCACTTTGGGCACTTTTAGACTATGGAATTGCAGCACTATGATTCCACATTAACTGCCATAGCAATGGCCTATAATCTTGGGATTTGTAGTTTATGGAGAGGCATTTAGAATCTTCAAACAGAGCATTCCTCTAATACCTCATCAAATCTACAAAATCCAGGATTTAATAGCAAGCAGCCATAGCAGTTAAAGTAGTTCAGTGAAAGGGCCCATGGAACATCTGTCTTTTCAGGTGATAGAAGCACATTGGAAAGGACATCAAACATATCTCCCATCTTACTTTGCTGTGCTGTGCTTTATTCCAGTAATGAAGTAGATTGAGAGTGCTTCCACACAGGGCTTAAACCCGCTCTAAAGCTGGTTTCAGTCCCCACACCTTCCCCAAAACCCAGGCTTTCTCAGAGGTTGTTTCCATGCCATCCCAAAAACCTTTTGGGACGGCATCGAGGTACCCGACCCCCGACCCCCCCCAAAAAACCCTTTAAAATAAGGAACAACTAACTGAGCTGCCAGTAGTCATTTTTCTCCGGAGGCTTCCTCCCACGTAGAAATGACGTGCCCAGGAGGCGGGGGGGACAGGAGACATTTTTATGCATCAGGAGGCCTCCGGAGAAGCCTAATAGCAGCCCGGTAAGTTTTTCTTTATTTTTAAGGTTTGGGGTGGGGGTGCCCTCCTCAGTTCTCCGGGCCCATGGGTCCCAAAGAAACAAGATGGGCTGTGGCCATTGAGGCCTGTGAAGTCTCTGAGGATGAGGAGGGGGACTTTTTGATGGAATCTGAGGTTTTTACTTCTGAACCTGTTACGTCTATGGGAGAAAATGAAAGTGTTCATCCTCATGATGGGAATGTTTCATTAGATCTGGTGTTAGGGAAACAGAAAGTGGTTCTCATGAGAATCTGCAGGGATTGACTCTGAAAGGAATGTGGAAGAGACAGGAGCTCTTCTTATAACTCAATGATTACAGTTACGAAGAGATAGTGCAAAGCAGAAACAAATTTGTTGTTCTCAGAGGCTGAAGCATAAGCAAAGGGAACCCAGGTATGAAAAAGAGTGATGTCATGGGTAAGAATTAGAATTCTTAATTGTTTTGAGATAATGTTCATAGGGAGATCAGTGTTGTATTTTTATGGGTCAAGTCGGTTGTCTTGGGAGCTCGAAGTTAAGAGTTATTGTCTTTTATTCTTTATCTTATTTTCCTATTTAAGATCAATGCCTCTTGTTTGGATTACAGTTCTGGGTTCAAGTTTTCAAGCATTTGAATTATAATTTTGTACAAGTTTTCAAGTGTTTGGATATCGTTTTGGTTTAAGTGTTGAAACCCTTGGATTACAGTTTCTTGTTTTTAACTTTTGGGATTTTAGATTCAAATTTAAAGTGGGTCACTGCTCTTTGTTACATTCAAGAATATCAAGCTTATTGAGATAACTTTGAAAATGCTTTTACGGTTTGGTTTTTTATTGTACCTTAATGATTGCTTAGTCTGCTGATTTTGGAATGATTTTTGGATTATAGTCTATGTTTGAAACTGCCTTTTCTATAGCATACCCTTTTCTTAATAAACTTATTACTTATTGTTGAACTGTGTAGTTTTTGGGTGAAAAGGAGTCACACAGGCGGTTGGGCTGCAATAGGAACTTGGGTCCCTTCTACACTGCCATAAAATTCAGTTCTCTGAAAGAAGATAATCTGGATTTTATATGGCAGTGTTGGGAAGTGGGAGGAGGAGAGGGAAACTGGGACATTTTTAAATGACTGAGAGGCTTAACCAGAACTGTTAATCCTGACAACTGGTGTGTGCAGGACAGTTTGGCGTTGTTCTAGATCTGCTTTTGGCAGTTATATTATTACATGAGATTTGCTATTCTTCTCTTTGTTAATAAACATAGTTAATCGTAATATTCTACATGTCTACTGAGTACTGAAGTCCCATGTCCTAGGAACTTACAATGTGGAATCAGTGCAGTTTTACATGACTTTAACTGCCATGGCTCAATGCTATAGATTCATGGGAGGTGTCATTTTACAAGACCTTCAGTTTTCCCTACCAAAGAGTCCTGTTACCTCACCACACTACAAAGATTCCATAACATTGAGTTATTTGTGTCAAATTACATTAATTCTACAGGGTAGATATAGCCCTGGAAAATGAGGACATAACTTGTCCTGAAGCCCAATGGAAGAAAATATTTTATATCCATACCCACCACATTTGCTTTATAGTTAATTGAAGCTGATACGGACCTATCCTGTCTAATATGAGCCAGAGAAGAAACATACATTGTGAGGCAGGGGACATATCATTTCATATGCAATGATATCCTGCCCTTTTCTAGCACAGGCTCAGCAGCTCCCTTATATTTCCTATAAAGTGTAACTTCTACCCTGAAATTATTCATAAATAAAAAAGGAACAAAAAAATCAAAATAATCAAGATGGGAAAAAGTAAAGAGACATTTGTGACAATTTGGTGTTTTGTGAGACCAAGTCATTTTTGACTTATGAAAAGGTTTTCTTGCAAGATTTGTTCAGTATGGGTTTTGACTTTCATTCTCTGAGGCTGAGAGATTGTGGCTTGGTCAAAATCACTTGGTGAGTTTCCGTGCTGAGTGGGGATTCAAACCCTTGTCCCCAGAGCAATGGTTCAACCCTCCAACTACTACACTGCATTTGCTTTGGCTAGGAGCGATTATATTCCTAAAGGAAATCAGGTGAATATCAAAGGTCAGGCTGAAAGACAAAACCAGAAGAAAACAGGGAAATGCAGTCTTTGATTGGAATTGATTGACATCTCATGAGAACAGAAGCAGAACTTGGAGCCAGATTTCAATGTTTCCTTGGCAATTACCTCTCAGACTTGGGCCGATCAAGCCATCTCAGCAATTCTGAAACTCTTGCTTCAAATGCAACTGATCTATATGAAAGAAAATTAAAAATTAGGCTTTAAAAAAACCACAATGCAATAGAGCAATGGCATTGACAAAAGGTAGATTACTGGATCAAAACTGTTTCTATTCTGGGCAAGATTATTTTGATTCCTTTATGTATATTTGGTGCCCAGAAATTTCACTGCAAAAAGTAAGCTAATGGTTAAATGCTTTGTTTTTACACCTATGCCATTTTGGTCAATGTAGGTAAATCAGAATTCTATTTACAGGGTATGCAAATTAGTATTGTATTTACAAACACACCTAACCATGATGTCCATTGAATATGGTGGGATTTACCTCTGCACAAGCATGTTCCATTTCATATATAAAAATATATTTCATATATTTTTGTGTTACTCATTTATTCTTGCAAAAATTGAAGAAAATATTTCCTTTCCAATTAAAATATTATCAAGAAAATCATTTTGTGATATGATATTATTTAATATTAAGCTGTGTAATAGTATAGAATGATTTCCTACCCACATACAACAAAATATGGAATGTTCTAGGTCCCCTAGTTGATTCTGTGGTATGCATTCACCAGAAGTTACCATAGAGTCACATTGGGGAGAAGGTGAGGCTAGCAAATTCCTCAAGAAGATACCACTCTGGGAATGTTCTGGGTCCTCCGAAGTGACTGTATGATAGCATCCGGTGGAAGTAATTCATTTCAATAAAATTCCCTTATTAGCTGTGGTTTTGTTTTCTGGCCATGTTTTAGTTCTAACCCACCCATGTTTTTCCCTTGTTGCATCAACCTTTTACCTTCCCACAGAAAGGCCTGTAAATGCAGAAAGAGTGCTATAGGAGTACATTGGTTGGGATCCTGTTATTAATTGAAACAGATCCATTGAATCAACAGTTGAATGATGAGTCAATACATAGATTAACCCAACCAATTCAATTGTTCTATTCTAGCTGTGATTAATGATAGGATTTCACTCTGTAACCTTAAACTACTAGCTTTGGGAATCGTCGTTGCCCCCCTCTGCCCCCGGATTATCTTAAGTTTGTGTATGTAATCTGGACAAGATAATTGGGCAAAACTGAACTTGGTTTTAGGACCAATGAGATTCTGTTTGTCAAGTAACACCTTATAAGTAGTGAGTCAGGAGAAAGTGAAACTTCAGCTATTTGTCTCCCTACTGAATCCATTATGATAGAGGTCCCCAAACTAAGGTCTGTGGTCTGGATGCGGCCCTCCAAGGTCATTTATCTGCCCCCTAAATCTTAGAATTATGATTGCCCTAAGTCTGAAATGACTTGAAGGCACACAACAGCAACAATCCTAATTAACTTGACTAAAGCAGACCCACACTTCACATACTAGTAAGTTTATGTTGGTTAAATTCTTATTTTAAATATTGTGTTGTTCTTTCATACTTTCCCACTACAAATAAAATACATGCAGTGTGCATAGGAATGCATTTAGGGTTTAAAAAAAACAAAACAAAACAAAACTATAGCCCAGCCTGTTAAGGTATATAGAAAACTGAGTTAATTTTTGAGAGGATCAGCACTAAGGTTATGCAGATGTATGTGTGAAGGTGGATTGCATGTATCATTTCAGAAATATTTTGAATTTTAAATGATACAGCAGTAATTATACTCAGGTACATTTATCTGTATCCAATTACAGCACAGGTACAAGTTCTTTTTCCAAGAAAGACTTCACATTTGACTTACCCATTATATACCACATATATATTAGGGAATGTTTCATTGATTTTTACATCAGAACCAGGCCAAAAGTAGGTGGCAGCTTTCAATCCTTGGTACATTGCTGTATGCCAGATCTGCAAGAACCATAGAGATTCACTATTTGAAGACACTCATTTCAACAGGGCAAGCCTATATAGAAACCCTCTAAAACTGGAGGTTTTCATGGAACACTGCTTGGCATAATTGATTCAGATGAATAACAAATAAAGCAAGGGCTTTGTATTGGTGAAACATTAGCTCCAGAACTGTTGTTATTGAATGCTTGTAAAGTTCATCTCAAATGGTTGGAAACTGGTCAAAGCCTTTTTATATTAAATGGAGTTGGCAGAGGCAAGCTACAGACTTGCCTTTAATCGTCCCATGATTTGGTGAAGCTGTTAATTTGCTTAATTTATGCTTCTGTCCCATTTTTTGTTTTGGATTTGGTGTTATTTCAATATTAAGAAAGAAACATACTTCTCAATACTGAAGTAACTAAAAACCCAGTGCAAACCACACATTCTCTGTTTGTGGGAGAAAATGGTAAATATGGCATTGAAGGTAAAAGATTAACAAATACACTAGGCTATAACTGTACAGGGAGATTAATTCAGTTACCCATATCTTTTTCAACTCTAAGATGCCATTGATTGTAAAATGCAGTTTGCACACTGATTTCAGCACCACCAACAGATAGATATATAGCACTCTTGCTTCTATAAAACACCCTGTTTTTAGAAATATTTTTATATGGGTTGGAAAGCATGTTTAAGGGCCCTTCCACACAGCCCTATATCCCAGAATATCAAGGCAGAAAATTTCACAATATATGCTTTGAACTGGGTTATCTGAGTCCAGACTGCTATATATTCCAGTCCAAAGCAGATAATGTGGGATTTTATTCAGCCGTGTGGAAGGTGGCCTTAGGGCCCTTCCACACAGCCATATAACCCAGAATATCAAGGCAAAAAATCCCACAATATGGCTTTGAACTGGGTTATCTGAGCCCACACTGCCATATATTCCAGTTCAAAGCAGAAAATGTGGGATTTTATTGCTCTGTGTGGAAGGGGCCTTAGAATCAATGAAACACAGTATTTTAACCCTGGCATCTAGGAGAGAAGCCTTATATGCCTTATTTCCCTCCTCGTGGTCTGCAAATTGGGTTCAAAGTCCGAAGTGAGTTCAGAGTCCAAAAGTACTTTGCATTCAATTGACCCAATGTAGGGAAAGAGATTCGGTAGATTCAGGTAAAAGCAAACTGCAGCAGCATTTCCTGGTTTGTCTCATCAATACCTTTTGTCATCTTGATTAAACTCTGATGTTGTTTGGCTAAATGAGTCCCCGTTTTCATCTGTGAAATGTTGGAGGGTATTAAACCATTTTTTAAAAGCTGATTGATGGTGCAGTTTAGCCTTATATTTCCAATTTCCGCACCCTTATCAACAATACTCAATAGCCGAATGTGCTTTACTCTGACCCATTCTAGACTATTCCACATAGGTCTTATTCACATTTAAAGACTACTCACTGGTTGTCCACTCCACCAGGCAGGATTTGATTTCGCAGTCCCAGAAAGTGAGAAGTTCTGGTTTAAGTTTACATCATACATATTGTTGTCAATTATGCCGTGGGATTCTGGATATAAACCCTGTACAGTGGGACAGACATTTAGGTAAGGTGAATCACATATGCTAACCTTAAAGGGCATTAGTATTCTAGGACCTGTTATGTGTACTGCTATAAGAAGTCAAAACTAGATTTCTGCCCCATTGTCATATCCGCTAATATAATATCATGATTATCTCATATCTTCCATTCCCAACCCATCTGTAGCCAATATGTTGCTATCCACATAATATATTGTTGTAAGCTATTATGGCCAATTAAAAACTGCTAGCTTTACAAAAACTTAAAAATTGCAGGAATTGTTTGTTGATATTGATTATCAGGGCTGCCTGTGAGTTGGGGTTCTCCTTAAGCCACTTCTACCTGCATTCTGGATCCTACTTGGGTTCAGGCTGCAGCCGTGGTGAGTAACTATACCTCAGAATTTAACACTACATCACCATACCTGATACATGACTGCCTTTCACTACTTATTTCATCTTCATTATCAGTTGACAGTGAGAATTCAACTGTGTGATCTTAAGAATATGTATTTATGAGTTTATCTCCGTTCAATGGAACATATTCCCAATAAGCCAATTTATAGGTTTATAAATAGAACTGTAGACACAATGATTCGTGTCACAGGGACCTACCACACAGACATATAACCCAGGCCCTTCCAGACAGGCCCTATATCCCAGGATCTGATCTCAGGTTTTCTGCCTCAAACTGGATTATGTGAGTCTGCACTGCCAGATAATCTGGGATAAACAGAAAACCTGGAATCAGATCCTGGGATATAGGGCCTGTTTGGAAAGGCTCCCAGAATATCAAAACAGATAATCCACAGTATCTGCTTTGAACTGGATTGTATAAATCCACACTGCCATATAATCCAGTTCAATGTGGTTTTTATACAGCTGTGTGAAAGGGGCCATAGACATGAAATGAAGTTATGACCTCCTTTCCTAAACAAGCTGAGTATTCCTTGTCTGAAATGTTTGGGACCAGAAATGTTCTGTATTTCAGGGTTGCTCCCCATATTTTAAAATGCTTGCATTTACATCACGAGATATCTTTTCTGCTGCATATAAACCTTATTTGCATTACCTTAAAGGTAATTTTAAACAGACCATATATATGATACAAAGTATGTATACATGGAACTATCACAAAACAAACATGTAACTATCTCAGCCATGCATGCAGAAAATTATGGATTTTGGAATGGTATTCTGGATTTTGAATCGCAGTTTATGGAAACTGAAAATGTACAATACATAGTTACTTTATAGGTTCCCTTTAGTCCTCTAGGGTCCCCTAATGGCGCAGCGGGTTAAACTACTGTGCTGCTAAACTTGGTGACCAAAATGTTGGTGGTTTGAATCTGGGAAGTGGGGTGAGCTCAGCTTCTGCCAATCTAGCAGTTCAAAAACATGCAAATGTGAGTAGATCGATAGGTACTGCCTTGGCAGAAAGGTAATGGTGCTCCATGCATTCATGCTGGCCACATGACCTCGGAGGTGTCTATGGATAATGACAGTTCTTCAGCTTAGAAATGGAGATGAGCACCACCCCCTAGAGTCAGACACATCTAGACTTAATGTCAGGTGAAACCATTACCTTTACCTTTACCTCAGTCCTCTGTTTAACTATCACAGGCATTTCAGACAAATACTTTGTAAAAAGGAAACATACTACTCATCCCTGGAGGGAATGTGTGATATTTTGGGAGCATTTCCCTAACTCAGAGTGCAGTTCCAAAGGCCAAAACCTAACAGATGGAGTGTTCCTGTCCCAGATACTCCCACTACTGCTAGCAGAATACAAGTAAACATGGAATCAGTTTTCATTGGACATTAAACCTTTTCAACCCTTTTGACTAGTGGAAGTGAAAAGTGCTGATCTAAAATGAATGTTGTTCTAAGATATGAGTCCAATATATTCACATTTTTTTTCCCTTCTCACCACTATATCCCTGCATTTTCAAACCTTCGGAGGTCAGGGTTCCAACTTGAGGGGAAGAGGTCACCAGAGAAACTTTCATTGTGCTTCATAGGGACCTGATCTTCCATTCTGAAAGCCCTTCCACACAGCTGTATAAAATCCACGTTGAACTGGATATGACTGTGTGGACTCATATAATCCAGTTCAAAGCAGATATTGTGGATCATCTGCCTTGATATTCTGGATTATATGCCTGTGTGGAAGGACCCTGTGATCAGAGCTTCATCAAAGACCTTAGAAGGAGAGATTTTCTCCTTCCTATTAAGGAGCAAACAGCATTCTTTCAGTAAGAGGACTGCAAACATAGGAACCTCCTGATATACCCATGGAAAAAACTCATTTCTACTTATACTTCTTACCAAGCAGGTTTGGAAATAAAATTTCAGTAAGAGTGACACGGCCATTCTTTTCTGTTCATTATTTCTTCTTGATATGTTTATTTAATTATACAAGGGAGGAAGGGAGGAATACAAACAGCAAAGTTAGCCATGGTAGACAGAAAAACAACTACTTACTGTAACTATCGTGTAATGATTTGTGAAAGTTTTGGTTGGGTAAGCAGCTCTCATGTACTTTGTATATGTTCCACATTTTTCTGCAACAGAATATGCTTAATTACTATACAACTCCAATTGGGTATTATTATTCCGGCCATTGTAGTTTAGGGTGTGCAATTCTCATACACATCCCTTAAACTAAGGAATACAATTACTTACTGAGTTTTTCAATGTTTGGCAGTAAAGCACTCCATGTTTCCAAGTATTCCGCCCTAAAGCCATCCATGGAAAAAAGAATGAGTGGCGACCGATCAAATCTGAAAGAAAACACACAAAGAAATATGGTATGAGTCAGGTGGTGTAAGATATTGCTGAAAACTCCACATGTGAATTGGAAAGAAACACAGGCTATTATAGGATAATCAAAACCTAAAGTTTAGAAGATTAACTTTTAAAAACAATTCATTCCCATGACTTGTTACAGTGTTTTATAAAAGCCAAATTGCGGCTATTGTTATTCATTACAATGTTACAAAAAATAACCTATTGCGGTACTAAGTATGCTTAAAAGTTCGTAAGACTAAGGGCAGTTCAATCATGAATAAGGCTAGATGCTAGTTAGATGGCTTTCTCAAAAAAATTGTGGATAGAGTTACAAGTTTGTAGTTCAGGAAAATGTAGTAGATGTAGTATATCTTGATTTCAATATGCTCCCCCATGATATTGTTAGAGGCAAGCAGGTGTAATGTGGGCTAGGTAGTGTTAGGTAGATTTGTAATTGGTAGATAGATTGAATCCAAACTTGCTCATTGTTGTTCTTCATCCTGAAGAGAAAAGACTAGGGTTCTGTCCTGGCCCTAATGATATTATACATCTTTAGAAATTACTTGGATGACGGAACAGAAAACATACTTCTCAAATTTGCAGGTGACATCAAAGAGGATCTAGGAGTCTTAGAATATTACAAGATAAACATGAGTCAACAGTTTGGTCTGGTAGCTAAAATGGCAATGCAACTATAGGTTGCATCAGCAAGAACATATCATCCAGACTGAGGAAGGTAGCAGTGCCAAGTAATACATCTAGCTACAGTAATACATCTAGTTTTGAGCACCATGGTTCAAGAAGAACATTGACAAACTAAAATGTGTCCACAGGATGATAGCCAAGATTTTCACAGCCAGAACTCAAGCCCTATATAGAATAACTAAGGGGGCTAAATATACTTAATTTGGAGAAGAAAAGACTTAAGAGGCAGGACTGGTGTCTTTCATCTGATGCTGGAGCAAACTTGTTTACTGCTGCCTCAGACATGAACCAAAGGATTCAAATTTCAAGAAAAGGGATTCTGCCTAAATACTGGGAGAACTTTTTTTTTTACTATAGCAGCTGTTTAGCCATAGGAATAAGTAGCCTCAAAGGGTAATTGGCCCTCCTTCTCTGGTGTTTTTTTTTTAACCAAGAGTTGGATCGCCATTTTTTCCTGGGGTGTTTTAGTTCTAGATTCCTACATGGCAGGGAGCTGGATTAATGCTGTGGTCCCTTTCAGGTTTGTGATTCAATAGTAGTATATACACAGACACAGTCATGTTGACCATAAGATAAATTACCAAGTCCTTATTGTGGTACCATCTTAATGGGTGGGGCAACCAAAAGGCACAAAATTCTTTGTGCAAACATTCAGAAACAAAGGTTTTTCCAGATGATAAAGATGGCTTTAAAAGTATGCAGAGGCTGAGGGAGAAGAAAGTGACACTGTTTACTATTAGATTATCTGTATGCTGTGTTGAGGTAATATAGAGAAAGAATGTGTAGGCTATCAGATTATATGCTCCAATGGCCCTGAGATCACTGAGAACAATAAATACAATGCAAAAAGAGCAATAAAGGTTGGTTCTCTATTTGAAAAAAAATCACTCCTTGAAAACTCAGACTTACCTCTATCCAATATAAAACTCATATAATCCTTAATTATGAATTCCTCTAAAGACCCCTATATAATCAGGGATGGAGTTAATTTTTAAACATTTTTAACTATCTTAACCTTTTTAAAGAATGGTTTTCAAAATTTTCACAGAGAATTGTATGCCTGTTGGTTAAACTAATAAAGGTTTTAAATAGTACAAATAATCAATCAGCCATTAGTTTATAAAAGCATATCCAAAGAAGTTGCATATTCAGGTGATTTAAATGTGTGTCATGTAGCAAATGAGAAATCAAAGTGTTGTAATCCAGAAAGAAAAACGATCCGTTCACAGGTTAGACTATGATGTGTAGATATTTCTACTTTTTTATCTTTTCATAATTCATTAACTTATTTTAAAGCTATAATTACCAGTTAACTATGTAAAGTGTGACCATTGGATTGTAACCTCTGGTTAAGGGGCAATAATCCATTGAAAAACACACTGAAAACACTCACATAGATAACATGCATACATTTAAACTTCAAAGCTCATGATCTGTAAACATGCATATTTTAGACCTGTGGAAAGATAAGGAGTTTCAGTGAAAAGTAATTTGGAATAGGAAAATGGTCAGAGAGAGGATGTGTCTGCTCAACTCTTTCCAGGCTCTTTATTTTACTGCATGGTTTTCCTAGTTTGTGGTGAATTAATTTGGGACTGCTCAGAAAGTTGTCTGGGCAGCCCCTCCTTTATTATGGTAGATAAATAAAGGTACTGTCTGGACGGGCCCAGCGTGGACTCAGATAACCCAGTTCAAAGCAGGTATTGTGGATTATCTGCCTTGATAGTCTGAGTTATATGGAAGGGCCTTGAGTCAGGCCTGTAGCCGGGGGGGGGGGGGTTAGGGGTTCAACCCCCCCCCCGAAATGTTTCAGATTTTTAAAAAACCTGGTTTACTCATGAATTTTAACTGGTTAACCAAATCCCCATGCTAAGTCTATGGGACGCAAAAAATTAAGAGTCCCTCCAGAACTGCAAGCACTATCTCAAGCAAATATTGACAATTTATTCACACTGTCATTACTTGCAGCAATAGCCGATGTAGTGAAGCAACCAAGTTGGGGGGGGGGTTGAATGCTCTCATTAAGGAGGCCAGACTTGGTGGAGGTGGTTGACAGGGGCGGAGCTGCAGGCTACTGAAGGCTGCTCTGCCCCCTGCAGTGCTCTTGCTTCAGCGTGAGCTAAGAGGCAGGTTTCAAACCCACCCCCTGAAATTTTCAACCCCCCCCCCCAAAAAAAATTCTGACGACGGCCCTGCCTTGAGTTCACACTGCCAATGTGGATTTTGTATAGCTGTGTGCAAGGGGCCTAAGAAAAATTGCTTAAGTTCATAGGTGAAATGAAGGCGCAATAAGTGGGTTAAGGATTAATGTGGGACCAAACTGCTACTGAAAATTTTTAATGATTTCTGGGTGAAAGGCATCTAAAATTAGGGTTGGAGAGTTTGGAGTCTCTTGAGGAGCTTGGTGATATACAAAACAAAGGAGAGAGTATGAAACTTAATGAAATGCACTTTTTCAATCCTATTTTAGATGCAGGGAAAGTGGGTGGATTGCTTCGTAAATAGAAAGAAGGGTTTACCTGATTTGCAGAGGAAGCATCGATAACTACAGCAGCAGATAAGACATTTGTTTCTACCCACACATGTCAAAAGGCAAATTAAAGCTATTTTGGGCACAGATGTTAAAAAAAGACTAGAACAACCCACAAGCTGCTCTCCATATACTTGGTTATAAAAGCCTAACAAAGAACATAAATAAATAATCAACAGTCTGGTGGCCTTTCACCATCTCTAAATTTGTTTTCTGAGGTAGCTGCCTCACTCTGCTAAGTGATAGAGCTGGCTATTGAAAATAGGCTATCGTGATAGCACAATACAGGCAATTCCGTGTTGGAAGAAAAGAAGCTAACAGTACAGTTAAGAATCCTGTAAACTATCAACATTCACTGAAATTTTTTATTGACTTGGACAAGCTGGCCTTCCCCATATATGGTCCTCTCCACTGCTGTTTCTGCTTAGAATGTCATTTCTCATCTGTTGTTTATAATGCCTCTTTGTGTGAGGAGACTATAAAGAATACATCGTTCTTTTATAACTTATATGCCAAACAAACTAACTGTGAAATCCTTACCCTGATGGGCAATGAGCAGCATTTAAAGAAGCACATTCTTCATTTTGCCAAGGTGTTTCGCCTGTAAAATAAAACAGACATATACATTTTATATTTTAAATGCAGACATTTAAACTGGGTGGAGAATTTATAGGGATACAGGAGGCTTCCCAGTGCATTTAGGGCCCTTCCACACAGCCATATAGCCTAGAATATCAAGGCAGGTAATCCACAATATCCACTTTGAACAGACTAATGGGGACACAACAAGAGTATATCTTTCAAAAGGTAAAGTTATATTCATAGTTTCCTATAGGTCTCACTTGTATTGCACTGATCTATTAAGTTTTGAATATATTTTGAATTAGTTTTTAAGGATTTTAACTGTTTACTTGTTAATATCATTAATATTTGATTCTATTCTAATGTTTTATATTTGCAGATTTTAAATGGTATTTCTATAAACCATTTGGGGGGGGGGGCTTATAGAATAATAATAAGAAGAATACTTCCCCACTAAAGCTTAAAAGTAAATTTTACTTAATTCAATGACTACTCTTTTTCTTTTTCTTTTTTGGAAACACATTTAGGAGAATATAAAAGAAATCCTTTTGGATACCTTTGCAAATGCTTTTGTAGTCTGTGCAACAATCTTTTTTCTGCAAGCAGTCCTCAGAACAGGAGCAGAGGGTTCTGGGCATCCGTGTCTCACCACAGCGTGCTTTAGAGCAAGACCAGCTTTGAGCTTTAAAGAAGCATAAAGTGATTACTTGGGCATGACACAGGATAGACATCTGGAAAACTTTTCTGATGGGAATCTTGAATTTTCCTAGGAAGAGAATTCCCAGTGGAAAAACACAAACACATACAGAAACATTTTCCCATGTGTTGGTGAAAATGAAGTGTGTACTTTTAAAATATGCTGAATGCACATGTGGCCTTAAGTTTTTCTGGTACAAAGTCTTCAGTGGTGGTAGTAATGTATGCCATATGTCTAACGTTTTGCTTTATTTTTGGATGCACATAATGGGTATTACAAGCTCTATTTTGAAGCTTCCCCAATTTTGTTCATCCCAGTTTATAGACTTCAATTCACTTTGTTGCACACGTTCACACTGTGCACCTTTTAATACTGCATTTCCAAGCTGCCTTCAATCTACGTTTAGTGCTCAGTGAAGGTGTGATATTTAATCAGAAGTCACTGATTAACTAGTTTCCCCTTGCATCCAAAGTGGAAAAGAAGCAGCTTTTGAACAAATCAGGATATTATGCTTGTTCTGAAGTTAGAAAACATAATTTCTCATCTTGGACACATTGAGAAACTATTAACTAGTGAATTCTGCATTGCTTTCAGGCACATCAAGGTAGGGGAAACAGCTGCTTGTATAACCAAAAGGATTGTTCATATCTTCTAAAACTTTTTTCCACTCATGATGCCTTTCCACCCAAAAAATTCTTACCCTGGATATAAAGGTACAAAAATCAAACATTTACTGATAATAAAACAGTATTTGCAAGGCTTGCTAAACATGCTGATTTTCCTTTTACTGGAACACAGCTGAAATTTACTGTAAACACTGCTTGTTGTTGTTAACAAATTTGTATAAATGGATGATGTTCAGAAAACTTTTACTGTTGCCATTTTTTCTAACTTCCCAACACTGGGCTAAGGGGATCGCATTTGGGATCAGGACCCAAGCGGTGATGTAGATAATCATCTGAACTGAACCAGTAAATACATGGAAACCTTAGGGGCGCATCCCGACAGCAGCCAAATCTGCTCCAAAGCAGGTTTTTAAAATCCACATGGATTTGGGTCCCCCCAAAATGGGTTTACCACTGGGGTATCCAGCCACCCTCCCCCAAAAGCCCTTAAAAGGAGAAATAACTTGCCTGGCTGCCATTAAGATACTCCTGGAATCCTCCTGGTGCATAGAAATGATGCACCAGTAGGCGGGGGGCAAGGAGGAAAATCACTCTCCCCCCCACCCCCCCCACCCCCCGTCTGCCTAGGCACTTCATTTCTAAACACCAGGAGGACTCCAGGAGTACCTTAATCATGGTAAGTCATCACTAGAACCCCCAGTGGCACAGTGGGTTAAACCCCTGTGCCGGCAGGACTGAAGACCGACAGGTCGCAGGTTCGAATCCGGGGAGAGGTGGATGAGCTCCCTCTATCAGCTCCAGCTCCTCATGCGGGGACATGAGAGAAGCCTCCCACAAGGATGATAAAAAAAACATCAAATCATCCAGGCATCCCCTGGGCAACGTCCTTGCAGACGATCAATTCTCTCACACCAGAAGCAACTTGCAGTTTCTCAAGTCGCTCCTGACACGACAAAAAAAAGGTAAGTTATTTCTTCTTTTAAGGGCTTTTTTTGGGGGGGGGGAGTGGGTGCTCATGGAGTCCAAAAAACTGAGAGAGCTGTGTGGATTAGGCCTGGGGACTGTGTGGCGCTAGATCTTACCAGGTATCTAAGTAATTAATTTGCTTTTATCGGCGGGGTCATTTGGACGCATTTGGAAAAAAGCACGAGAGGCCCCGCAATTTGGGGCCTTTCTGGAAGGGCCCTGGGACTGTTCACTATGAAGAAGCTGAAGTTCTATAGGCTCTGGGTATTACTAGTGAGTTTAGACTGGTCAGTTAATCCACAGGCAATCTAGAGCAGAAATGGCTAAGAAGTGGCCACATGGGCATTGGACATCCTACATTCACACCCACATGGCCCAGTCTTGCTGGACCATCACTCCATCTTCCATGTTGTCTCTTCCAGCCAGCCATAGAGTATGTGAGCTCCTGGCCATCACAGGTGGCCATTGTGATAGCAGCTAAAACATCCACATAACCAGGAAGAATGGATGGCTTGATATGCACACTGTGCTGATAAGCCTGTGTAGTTTCATCCTAAATCTTAGGGAAGTCACTAGTTCAAGTCAGTTTGTTTATAGAGTCTACCATGCAACATCAGTGAGCTGTTGTTTGGTTTACCTGGGGACTGAAGTAACCATTTAACAGAATAAAATGGTTTAATTCATTTTGAGATGGCTTGGCTTGCTTTCTCTTTCAAGAACTTTGAGTCAGTCTAGAATGAAATCATCGGAACCTGGATCTACTTGTGGATCTACACTGCCATATAATGCAGTTTCAGAATGTAGATTAATTGCATTGAACTGAGTTATACGAGTCTACACTGCTAATTAATCCAGTGCAATGCAGTTAATCTGCATTCTGAAACTGCATTATATGGCAGTGTAGATCCAGTCTGAGTCAACAACCATACTCACTTGGTATGACACAGGCTTCCTCGTAATCCCAGCAGCAGGCCTGACGTTCTTTACATCTGTCATCACAGCTACAGCCGGCAGTCGTTGTATCTGATTTTTCAAAGCATCTGAATCTACAGCTCACTTAAATTAAACAAAGAAAATTAACTATATAAATATTTCCAGATCTCTTAGGAAGGTGTACATTGATATAGGTTTCAAGTATATATGTGGAACTTCATCCTGTTTTAAGCAAATGGATAGCGCTAGTGTACCAAAAGTGGGGAAACTCAAGTTCTCCAGATGTTGCTGGGATACAACTCCTGTGGACCCTCAACATTGGCTCTAAAAATGGAAGAAGTTATAGTCCCACAACAATTAGCGATCCACATTACTGCAACGGTCAAGGTAGGGAATTTCACTCCTTTCCAACACGTATTTTTATTTTTCAACCGACAGTTAATTTTTAACTTTAGGAAAGCTGTGTGAGCATATTAAACCCCATGCCTTTTTTCTCAATAGCTTCCATTTTAGTTCTAGTCCTGCTGGTGTCCCCCATCTATGGCCCCATTATCCTGCCTTTTCTCTCTACAAGGAGACTCAATGCGGTTTCAAACTGCATCACATAGTAGTGTAGATGGGGCCTGGGTTCCTTGCTGTTAGGAGGAACAATGTCACTTCTATCTGAAGACATATCTCTGAGCACATCAAAACGTCAAGACAGAACTCAAAATGGGTGTTTTCCTTTTACCCAGAGGAATATAAGAATAACAAGGTGTTCTTGGTCATAATATTTGGTAATGTAAGAATACTGACATTTCAAGGACTATTTCATTTCATTCATCTACTTTGGCATAAAGTGTTATGAACAGAACATTCTATGTTTTTATTTTTTTAGGTTTCTGTTTTTTACTAGTACTTTGCTTGAAATTTTCAATCACTGTTGGGTGGAAATGGGATGTGCATAAAAGTTTTTTCATGTACTTTATTGCCTTATCTCCTTGCCTCCAGCAACATGAACATTCTGAATAGGGTCAAGATATTTTTTTTTATCCAGATTTAACATTTCAGATCATTCTGAATTATGAGCAACCTAGTGTTCTTTCTTGCTATTATAATATATCACACATTTTAAACCAGCCATAATTCAATTACAGAACAAGTACATATCCTTTTCTTAACCAACTATATTGCAATAAAGAGACTTCGTAATAAATTGTACAAAAAAGCTTGCTGATGTTGGGCTTCCAATTTGACTCTGATTTGTGGTGATTTTTTGCGAGTTTTCTTCAATAGGGGTTTGCCATCTAAGAATGAGAATATGTGACTTGCCCAAGGTCACTCAATGGCTGAAAGAGAATTTGACCTGTGATCTTTTGTGCTCCATCTACACAGACCTAGAAATCCAGAAGAAAGTAGATTGAAGCATTGAGCCTGATACAGTGCATTAAAAAATCTCACCAGAAAGTTTGAAATCAGCAATAAAATGCACTGCAGATGAATAGTATATGACTGCTGCAGAGCAGAAATTCAGGAGCAACATGCATAGTGCTCATGTAAACAGTGCCACTGCTTCTACACAGGTCTTTAATCTGGAGTATAAAGAGGGTTTTAAAACCTGTTACTTTCCAAAGAGTTTCCACCTGACTCCATTGTCCCTGAGAAATCCTCCTAGGGTGTCCACATTAATCCAGAATGATCTGATCGGGCTTTTCAGAAACTCAAGTGCTCTGAAGGAGTCCACACAGGCAGGGGGGAGAGAAAGCATGTGTTTTCCATGCCTGCTGGGATACACAGGTCTGGAAAGGTGCATATTTCTCAGGAGGAATTGGGTTTAAAGGGTGCCCTTTTCTCAATCTGTGGTTCTCCAGGTATTTTACCAGCTGTTAGGATTTCTGGGAGTTGAAGGCCAAAACACCTGGCAACAGAGGTTGAGAATCACTGCTTTAAAACACATTTTCCAGCCCTTAACCCGATTCCTCCTGCACTTTGGCTAAATGTCATCTAGCCATTCTCCCTTTTAACTCGCTTCCTCTCAGGTTTTAATGCATGTGTAGAGGGTCCTCAGACTCAGCCGGAACTGACTCCTGGCTCTCCTAATGATCTCCCTGTACTTTCAGTGAGTATTGCAGGAAATCCTGTTAAACTAGATTTGCCTCACTTCAGGAAAAGGATGCATATTCATGACACTATAATCCATCTTAGAACCATTTAGGAGGAACCAGTTTTGCTGTGTGAGTGATCAGATTGCCATGCCTGGAATCAGTTTGAGTCCAGGAAGGTGAGTATATTAACTAGAGAACCAGCCTCTTTGCATGTGCCCCCCCCCCCTCTATTTTATTGAGAGATGTTCATCAGAGGCATACAAAGTGCAAAAAAAAAAGGAAAGTGGCAGTTAACATTGGAGATACTCAATTCCCCTCCTAAAATGCATTGTTTACATGCCTACAGTAAAAGTGTGAGAGCTCTCGTATTTTGGGCCCTGTCTGGATGGGCCCCTAGAGGATTATGGCCCACACCCAGATTTACCATTTCAGTGAAAAGTAGGCTAGAGATATACCATTTATTCAACAGTTTTGATCCATTCTATATGACATTGTAAATGTACCTTGTACCGGTTTCTTTAGTCCAAGTCCCAAACCTAGTCCTAGAGCCACAATCACAAGACAAGCCAAAAGAACCTGTTGCACAACAGAAAAAGAAAAAGAAATTGCATGTTCAAAATATGTTGCCAAGGAATGGTCTACACCAGTGGTTCTCAACCTGGGGTCCGGAGACCCTGGGGGGGGGGGGCAGTGAACACACAGGATCATCACAAGGATTCTGCAAAAAAAATTGAAGAAATGTTATGATTTTTGCTGTTAAATCTGAATGAACAAATGGAAACAAATAAAAAAAGGGAAATGGAACAAAATGTTAATTTTCTATGTTGCTTTTGGCATTTTTAACTTATTGCCTTGAATAAAAACAATCAGAGGTGGAAATCAGCTATGAGAGTAGCTGGGTGGGAAATGTACCCTATTTACTCGAGTTTAATGCACTTTTTTGTCTAAATTAAGTCTCCAAAATTAGCATGTGCATTTGAATTGGGTTTGTATAAGGCGGGCCCCCTTCTTCGCCTGCAATGCTGCAAGAAGGACATTACCCTTTTAAGGTGCTGCTTACTATACTATTATTTTGAATTCATATGGAATCATTATAATCAAGATATATCATAATAGAAGTATGTGCATTAACAGATTTTATCCCCTTCTCTCCCAATTTGAAAGACCTTCATGAGATAATTAAAATAATTATTTGATGCAGTCTAGTGCCTTGGAGCTTAAGTTAAGTATTTATTTATTTATTTAGAGTTTTTATAACCCGGTCTTCTCGACCTCCGAGGAGGGACTCAGGCTGGCTAACAACATAAAATTCAATACAATAAGAAAAACATTATAAATAATCAATATAAAATACATTAAAATACAATTCATACAAGTTACAGCAAAAATCAGTTCCTCAAAAAGAATCACAAATTCATCACCAGTCCTACCCCATTCTGTCATCTTCAGGATCAAAAGGTATTTAAAAAGGAGTTCATGCTGAAGAAAGGATTGAGGACCACTGCACACTACATCCATGGTATTCAGTATTTACTGCACAGGTGGCTTTCAGTATCTTCCTTCCAGACTTTTTAAACTAGACTTGCTCTTTCTAATTCAGAGTGGTTTTTGCTTAGAAAAATATATAAATACATATGATGTGCCTGAACTATTCCTAAAACTATCCACCTGTACAATTAGAAGGGGAAATGCCTACGTAAGCTACCAGCTAGCAGTGGTTCTCAACTTGGGGTCCCCAGATGTTTTTGGCCTTCAACTCCCAGAAATCCTAACAGCTGGTAAAATGGCTGGGATTTCTGGGAATTGTAGGCCAAAACACCTGGGGACCCACAGGTTGAGAACCACTGAGCTAGAGCATGTTTTTAAGCTAAATACTTTAGAAGTTGATAGCAAAGTTACATTTCCTTATTTCATTGATTCCAATGATACATTGTCTGTGTTCTGATACACAGTGTTTTGGTTTACAAAACATACTATCTACCACCATGGATATATTTTATTGGTATCATATCTCTGGAGCCCCTGGTGGCGCAGCGGGTTAAACCACTGGGCTGCTAAACTTGCTGACCAAAAGGTTGGTGGTTCGAATCTAGGAAGCGGGGTGAGCTCCCACTGTTAGCCCCAGCTTCTGCCAACAGTTTGAAAACATGCAAATGTGAGTAGATCAATAGGTACTGCTTCTGTGGGAAGGTAACAGTGCTCCATGCAGTCATGCAGGCCACATGACTTTGGAGGCGTCTATGAACAACACCGACTCTTCAGCTTAGAAATGTAGATGATTACCAACCCACAGAGTCAGATATGACTAGACTTAATGTCAAGGGGAAACCTTTACCTTTACCTTTTGTCATATCTCTAATTACTGCCACATATACCATTCAGGATACTAAGTCACAAATGGGGTATATATGAAACTTTTGGGACAGCACTCCATAATCTGGTGTCCCAAGAAATACTAAACTACATTTCCCAAACTGCATTAATTCTATAGAGTAAATACAGTTATGTCTCCAAAAATATTCAGAAAGTTTTAACTCATTTACAAATAATCTAAACAGGCAAAAATTGTCTGGTTCAGACATGTTGAGCATTGGAATAAGGAAATGTGCAACTGGGCTTACAAAAGTGACAATGTGTCACTAGGAGACAATAGTGATAGAGATCCCAGGCATACCCCTCTCTTTGTACTGCCTTTTGTAAGCCGCCCTGAGTCCCCCTTTGGGGGTTGAAAAGGGTGGGGTAGAAATACTTGAAATAAATAAATAAATACTGTTTGTTCTGTTGAGTCTGTTGAGTCCTAATCTACAGGCTGGAGATCAAACTAGGCATCAAGGAGAAACAGAAGCAGAACACCTCGCTTTAAGGTTGTCAGAAATGACTTGAAGACAACCCACAAGAAGAACAAACAAGGACTAACCTATTTCCCCTCCAAGGCAGTTTTCCTACAGCTAGCTATGCACCTGCTGAGACACTTTAAAAAATTAAACCTGTGTTTAATGTGGAAAGACTAACCAAAAAAATGCAAGAAAAATGCAAAATTTGCGGTGTAGATAATTTTGGATTATGATAAACAGATGTCTTCCACCATTTGAGAGAAAATCTCTCCTAAATCATTCTAACAACAAGCGCAACCCCAGGGACCAGGCCCATAGCCAGGATTATGTTTCGGAGGGGGGGGGGCTGAGTCTGAGTGAAAGAGAGTCTACCCTAGCAAACCTTTTGTATCATTACCCCAATACCCCCATACATATGGAATATATTGAGCATGGTGATCAGATCATGATATGAATAAACATAACAGTTTAAATAATGTATCAGTAAGGACCACCATGAGAATTTCGGGGGGGGGGGCCTGAAGCCCCCCACCCCCCCCCCCCCCCCGGCTATATGCCTGCCTGACCATCCAGTCCTACCCCATTCTGTCATGCAAGGTGGTGGCGGAGGCAGCAGTGGGGCTCCCCAGGCTCCATACTTCTGGGAGGTCCTGTAGGCCACAGCAGCAGGGCTCCCCAGGCCGGAGCTTGCACACCACGAGCCACAAATGGAGGGAAAGCACAGTTTGAGACTATACAAACTAGTATAGTCATTTCTTGGTTTACAATAGTAATACACAAAGCTGGAACATATCTAAAGGAGGGCAACACAATGGCAAAAGATCTGGAAATTTGTCACCTAGCCATGCCAAGCTTCTTCAGGTTCCACTCAGACCTGAAGAAACTTGGCATGGCTAGGCGACCAAGCATGTAGCCGGGGGGGGGGGGGGCTTGAGGGGCTTCAGCCCCCCCCCCCGAAATTCTCATGGTGGTTCGCAAAAAGGCCTTACTGGTGCATTATTTAAACTGTTATGTTTATTCATATCATGATCTGATCACCATACTCAATATATCCCATATGCATGGGAGGTATTGGGGTAATGATACAAAAGGTTTGCTAGGCTAGACCCTCTTTCACTCAGACTCAGCCCCCCCCCAAAACTCACCCCCCAACCCCCCCTGAAAATTTTTTGCGCCCCCCCCCCCAAAAAAAAACCGAAATCCTGGCTACGGGCCTGTAGGCGACAAATTGGTATCGCTGTGAATTTGACTGGCAAAATTCCTGGGAATGAGAGGTCACACACCTGTGTAAAAATGGTTAACATTTCTTACTGTTCTTTGCAGGATTTTGTGAAAAACTGTATTTTGTAGGCCTAGGAGCTCTGCAGGTGTGTGAGGGAGAGATAAAAAGGAAGAAGATAAAAAGATTAATAGTTGGCAGTTTGGTCTGAAGGGGGAAAATGGGAGTGTATAGGAGGTGGTTTGCTAACGTAAAGTACAAAAGTTGCAGAAAGGAACCTGCAGATACTCTTTCCTTGCAAGTTGGAAGAAAGCTGCTTCTTTTATTTGCTTATTGGACTACACTCATTTTTTCCAGAAAAGCAAAACCGTTCAGTACTGCATGCACTTTATCATGAATTGGTTCAGTGAGTTGAGTAACAAGCTGCATTTTAAAGCTGTAATTCTAAGAATATTAAATTAGGAAGCAGTATAATGGCAAAAAAGGAATAACAGATGTCTAGCTCTGGGATTTTTCTTCAGAATAAGAATAAGACATTATTTCACCAGAGGTGTAAAAAAACAGGCCTGTTAAATGCGTGAGGGCACATCCGGGCTTTCCCTGGTTTACTCCGCATTAATTAAACACCTCATTAGATCTGAATCTTTATGAAAGATCCAAGTCTAATGAGATGCTGGGCCTGTGTGGTATTGGTTTGAACAGGACTTTAGGAAATTGGGGTTTGATTCCCACTCAGTCACAGAAACCCACTCTGAGGTTCCACATCCATCTGCTTCTTTGGGCTTTGAAGAGCCCCAAGGAGTGGGCTGGTGCCCATCTCTTCCCCTCCAGCCTCCCACCTGGGTTCCTAAACTTACTGGAGATGCCTGCTAGCAGCGGAGACTTCTCCCTACAATCTACCTGGCATGAGAAAATGGAGTGTCAGGAGGTGGTGGTGGGGGAAGATTTCCTGATGCATAATTTTCTAGTGCCAGGTGTCCACTTCTTTTGGGCACCCATGGGGACAGCAATGCAGGCAAAAATGGACTACTTTAACCTATTTTTGCCCGCAGTAAATTGCCATCTAGATGTACCCTGTCAACCATTTTGCCTTTTGTTGGGGCAAATAGACAAGGGAATCCCCCAGACAAGACAAAAGTGTTGAGAGGTTGCGAAATTTGTTGCTGTATTTTATGAGTTTGTGTACTTTATGAGTTTGTTGCTGTACTTTATGAGTTTGTGTGTGTGTGTACGCGTGGAAACAAAATATGACAAAAAAACCCAGCAAAATCCATAAAACTCTCTCACTAGAATGTACTTTCCATTACACCAATCTGGAAGAGCCCAAGGAGTATCTTATGCCCTTAATGTCTTTCAAGCAAATTGCTGTTGTAAAGCATATTTTTGGAGTGCCAGAAACAAGGACAGTGTATCCCACACTTCTCCTCAATAGCCTTCACAAAGCAATCAGTTTCAGAAGAAACAAAAGTAGACAGGACATAGTGCCACATATTTGGATACCACTTCCAGGGGATCCTATTTAA